ATGTATCATAAACCGCCCCTCGACATAATATCAACAGAACAACCCCTCGGCTACCTCACAATAACTCATCATCAGCCCTCGGGCATAACCTGAATCAAGAACCGCCCTTCGGGAAACAATATGAATCAACAATAGCCCCTCGGGAAACAATATGAATCAACAACAGCCCCTCGGGCTACATCACATCAATCACACTGGGTACCCTCGCTCACTGGGGGTGTACAGACTCCGGGAGGGGCCCCTTACGGCCCAAGCACAATAACAAGCCATCTCGTGGCATAATCAATATATCACTCACTCAGGGTACCCGTGCTCACTGGGGTGTATAAACTTTGGGAGGGGCCCCTTACGGCCCAACACAATAATAAGCCATCTCGTGGCATAATCAAATAGGCTCTCGGCCTCATATCAAGCCACTTCATGTCATAACAAATCAGGCCCTCAGCCTCGTAATCATAAATCAGTACCACACTGCTACGGCACACAACCCGATCCCATAATATCCTCACAACACAGGCCCTCGGCCTCACTCAGTTAGAAATCTCTCATGCCACTCGAGCAACAGTGAAACATGATGCTCAGCCCCAAAATATCATTTAAAATATCAAAACGGAGTAAATATGGTTGAGTTATGAAAATAGTAGAAAACATCATGACTGAGTACAAATATGAAGTCAAAACAGTGAGGAATAGTAGTAAAAATCCCCTAAGGGTCCAAAACAGTTGGCACAAGGCCCAAATATGACATTCAACCCAAAACATGATAATACTTTCCAAAACATAATGATATCAAATAATTTTCAATCAAATACGCGATTTAACAATCATACGGGATGGACTAAGTCACAATCCCCAATGGTGCACGACCCCACGCTTGTCATCTAGCGTGTGCGTCACCTCAAAGTAGCACAACAATGTGAAATCCGGGGTTTCATACCCTCAGGACAAACATTTACAATCATTACTTACCTCAATCCGGTCCAAATTCTAACTCTCGATGCCTTTGCCGCTCGACTCGGCCTCTGAATGCTCCAAATCTAGCCAAAATAGGTTCACACCATCAAAATATGCCAAGGGAACAAAGCCCGCTCGAAAATATTCGATTTTCACAAAAAAATCCCGAAATTGGCCAAACTCGGCCCCCGAGCCCACATCTCAGAATCCATTAGAAATTACATCAATAGAATTCTTACACTCTCACGAGTTCGCACCTATCAAATACATCAAAATCCGACATCAAATGCCCATTCAAATCCCCAAAAGAATTCTAAAACTTTTCTTCCATTTTCCCCAATTTCCACTCTAATTCTTCAAATTAAATGATGAAATTCAAGACTAAATCATGGAATTAAATCAAATATTAGTGAAGAATACTTACCCCAATTGCTCCACTGAAAATCTTCTCCAATTTAACCTTCTCCTGAGCTCTCCAATGGTTTTTGTGATATTGGACTTAAACCCTCGATTTCCAAATATAATTTGTCTGCCCAGATATTTTCTTCATCGCGAACGCAGTAGCTCCCTAACATTCACGAAGCACAAAGCTTCACTAACCAAAATTCCTTCTATGCGAACACGAGGACCCTCTCGCGAACGCAATGCACATCTGACTCACCTCTTCGCGAACACGACCTCTACTACGCGAACGCATAGAACAAATGGCTTGGTGTCCCAGCTATTCCACTTCCTCTACGCGAATACGACAAAACCCTCGAGAACACGATGACCACAAACCTCAGCCCTTCGCGAATGCGGGACCACCTTCGCGAATGCGAAGGCCAACTCCACGGCCTCACATCCTTACCTTTCGCGAACGCGAGACATCCATCGCGAATGCAAAGGTCAAAAGCATGCAATACCAACATTAATTTTTCTGCAACTTTTTCCAACATGAAATGATCCGTTCAACCACCCTAAACTCACTTGAGGCCCTCGGGACCTCAACCAAACATGCCAACATATCCCATAATATCATTCAAACTTGTTCCAACCTTCAAAATGCTCAAGACAACATCAAAACACCAAACTCACACCGGATTCAAGCCTAAGAATTCCAAAAACTTCTAAATTCCGCTTTCGATCAAAAAGTCTATCAAACCTTGTGCGAATGACCGGAAATTTTGCACACATGTCAAAAGTGACACAACAGACCTACTCCAACTTCTGGAATTCCATTCCGACCCCTATATCAAAATCTCACCTATCAATCAGAAAACGCTAAAATTCCAATTTTGCCAATTCAAGCCTAAACCTTCCACGGACTTCCAAAACATGTTCTGATCACGCTCCTAAGTCCCTAAATTACCTAATGGAGCTAACTAAATCATAAAAATTTCAATCCGAGATCATATACTAACAAGTCAAAACTTGGGCAAACCTTTCAAATTTTAAACTTCAAACTGAGAACTGTTCTTCCAAATTCTTTTCGATTACCCTGAAAAACAAAACCGATGATTTACATAAGTCATAATACACCACATGAGGCTAGTCATGCCCGAGAACTGATGAACGAAGTGCAAAAGTTCAAAATGACCGGTCGGGTCGTTACAACAATCTTCTAATGTCATAGCTAATAAGTCAAAAGCACGCCTAAAACGTGGCAAACCATTGGGTTCTAAAGTTCGAAATCCTAGAAAAAGGAAAACAAATGATCAAAATGACACTACGAAAGAATCTCGTGAAGAAATTTACGATTTAATAAATTTTGAGATTCATGAGGAAACCACTGAGCCTGAGACTCAAGAAAATAAGGAATTATCAATAAATCCAATCGATATTGAGACAAATTTGAATCGATTTGATATAGTAGTAGATTACGTCTTTGCATATAATGTTGCATCTAGCATTATGCAAGATAATGAGGATCTTGAACCTTAATTTGTTGGAGAATGTCGAAAAAGACGTGATTGTCCAAAATGGCAAGAAACAATCCAATTAGAGTTCAATTCACTTGCAAAATGTGAAGTGTTTGGGCCTGTAGTCGAAACACCTAATGGTGTTAAGCCTGTTGGCTATAAATGGGTCTTTGTACGCAAGAGGAATGAGAAAAATGAGGTACGAAGATATAAGGCACGCCTTGTTGCATAAGGATTTTCACAAAGGTCTGGTGTTGATTATGAAGAGACATATTCACCCGTTTTGGATGCTATAACATTCCATTATCTCATTAGTTTTGCTATCCATGAAAAGCTTGACATGCATTTAATGGATGTGGTTACTGCCTACATTTATGGCTCACTTGATAATGAGATATACATGAAAATTCCCGAGGGATTTAAAATGCCCAACGCACATAATTCAAAGTCCTAGGAAATGTTTTCAATTAAATTGCAAAGATCTTTGTATGGTCTAAAGCAATCAGGACGTATGTGGTATAATCGTCTTAGTGAGTATTTATTAAAGGAAGGCTATATAAATGATTCCTTGTCTATGTGTTTTTATAAAGAAAACAACATTGGAATTTATTGTACTTGCCGTGTATGTTGATGACATAAACCTTATTGGAACTCCTATAGAACTCCAAAAGGTAATTGATTATTTAAAGAAGGAATTCAAGATGAAAGATCTCGGAAAGACAAAATTATGTCTTGGTTTGCAAATTGAACATTTGGCAAACGAAAATTTTGTTCATCATTCTACCTACATAGAAAAGGTACTAAAATGGTTTTATATGGATAGAGCATATCCATTAAGTACTCCGATGGTTGTTCGATCACTTATGTGAATAAGGATCCATTCCAACCTCAAGAAGAGAATGAAGAGCTACTTGGTCCTAAAGTACCATATCTTAGTGCAATTGGTGCACTAATGTATCTTGCTAACACTACAAGGACTAACATAGCTTTTTTAGTTAATGTCTTAGCAAGATATAGCTCTGCACTTACAATGGGACATTGGAATGGAATCAAACACATATTACTATATCTAAAAGGAACTACCGATATGAGCTTATTTTATGGAAATAATTGCAGTCCTGATCTTGTTGGTTATGCTGATGCTGGGTATTTATCTGAACCATACAAGGCTCGATCTCAAACAGGCTATGTGTTTACCTGTGGTGGCACTGCCATATCTTGGCGATCAACTAAGCAATCAATTATAGCTACTTCATCTAATCATGCTGAGATAATTGCTATTCATAAAGTAAGTAGAAAATGTGTGTGGTTGAGGTCTATAATACATCTTATTCGAGACAAATGTGGTTTGAAGTGTGACAAACTACCCACGATTTTGTATGAAGATAATGCAACATGCATAGCCCAATTGAAGGGAGGATTCATAAAAGGAGATATGACAAAACATATTTCACCAAAGTTATTTTTCACACATGATCTTCAAAAGAGTGGTGATATCAATGTGCAACAGATTCGTTCAAGTGATAATATGGTTGATTTGTTCACAAAATCTCTACCGTCGTCAACCTTCAAGAAGCTAGTACACAAGATTGGGATGCGAAGGCTCAAGGATGTAAAATGATGCTCTCATCAAGGGGAGTTTAATATGCGTTGTATTCTTTTTCCCTTACAAGGTTTTGTCCTACTGGATTTTCCTTGCAAGGTTTTTAACGAGGCAACCAAAAGATGTATTATTAGATATGTGTACTCTTTTTCCTTTTCTAGAATTTTTTGCCCATTGGATTTTATTTTAGTTAAGGTTTTAACGAGGCACATTACTTATTGAGTAGACATTCAAGGGAAGTGTTATGAATGAAATTGTAATTAGAGTGAATGTCTATCTTTGAGAGAGTTTTACTTTGTGGCTAAGTCATTTTTCCCGCATAAATAGAGGGGTCTTACCCCATTGTAAATCATCCCAAAATTCAATAAGAATTACTCTTTCTTTCTCTGCAATATTGTTCTTCTTCTTTTATTGTTTTATTTCATTAGAGTATTTTTCTAGACAAATTATTTCTAGATATTGTACTTTTGTTGGGTTCAATTCAAAGTTGTTATTTCATGGTTTGGCTTTGATTCAAAGTTATTTTTAGGGCAAAGGGCAGAACTATCACAATGGAACAAAATAATGACCCGATCTGCTCCTAAAATATCAATTTCACCCGTTGCACCATAATCTATGAAAGCATCAGACGAAAATGGAACCCCAAGGCCTCCCTCTTTCCATTGCTCCACTTCTCATCCGAATCTTTCCCCCAATTCAAAGCTCATCTAGAAAATCTCATCCCTTAATTTTCCCCTCCCCATCCCTTTTGTATAATTCTCTCTATCGTTTCCTATCTTTCTCGTCTCTCGCCTCTGCTTTTTTCCTCCTCCAATTTATTCATGTCAGTATACATCACCTCTTCACCAATCCTTATTGGGAAATTAAATAAAGAGAAGAGGGTATGGCTAATTTAACATGAGTTATATTTTGAGGAAGGAACAAAAGAGATGAGAGGAGATAAGAGATAAATGGGTTGTTAGAGAATTTTTTCTGCTGGTTTGAAGATAGTAATGCACGGATGGTTCTTACTTTAAAAGTTAGAAGAGAGTGAACGATAAAGGTGAAGAATGGGTAAGGTTTGCAGTCGCCGAAAATATTTTTTCGGCAATATCTAAATACCTTTTTTGATCATTTTTTCGATTAACTCTTTCACTGCCTTATAAAAGTTATATAGGATTACTTTATGATTTTAAAATTTAGTCATTGTAGGAATAAAAAGGCATTAAAATAATCTCAATTACTGGAGCTTTGTGATTTTGATGGATGAAATTGGTGGCCATAGTTGTGGTTTGGTTCTTGGACGGTTTAGTGAGGGGAGGGGGTAAGTGTGGATTTTAACCACTTATTAGCACCTTTTTACTTTAGTTTTTAGTCCGAAAATAGTAATTTTGGTTTTTGAATTTAATAAAATTATGTGAATTGCAGGCATACTAGAGGATGTGAGCTCAATGAAGAAATATAACTCAAGAAGGAGATGTTCCAGCTCAACTAGTCAAAGAGGAGCAGTGCAAAGGATTGTGCGGTATGCAAACTTATTCTGCAGTCATAGATGAAGATACAGCCCGCAGAAATACAAGTGCGGCCACAAATTTACCCTTGAAGCTTCAGAAGAGTTTAGCAACAGCGCGGTCCACATACTAAATTGTGCGTGCGCAGAAGCTGTTTGCACTGACAAGCTTGGAAAGATCATAGACGTTGCAAAGGACCAAATTCAAAGCCTCCTTAAAGTGCATTCACAGTCAAATTGTGTGGCCACAGAAGCTAAAGTGCGGCCGTAGAAGTTATTATGTGGACGCAGAATCCATCCTACTGTAAGAGCAACAGAAGAAAGTGCGGTCCGCAGCCAAATTGTGCGGCCGCAGAAACTCCCGAAGGGTATTTTTGTCAGCAAATTTCAGAGCACTATAAATAGATGACATACTTTTTAGGGTAATTTTTAAACTATAGCAGATGGTAGCAGTTAGAGTTAGCTATTTTGGGAAATCGGTGACTATAATAAGAGAAGATCCATTACTTTTACCTTTTAATTTTAGTTTTATATCTTCAATTACTTCTTCTTTTCAATTATTCATGACTTTGAGTACGAATAGCTAGGTTTTATCTAGGGTTGTCACCCAACCCTAGTGTGTAAAACTTATGGGTATTTAATATTAATACTTGTTATTGATTGGATGTTTGTTATTTAGCCTTGTTTATAATGTATATCTAAAATTAATGGTTGCAAACATTGATTCATGTCTATTTGACTTAGATCTTACTTGAGAAAGCAGAACCTAGTCTAGAAAAACTTGGCTAACAAGAAATTGAGCTTGTTGAAATTTTGGCTAGTTTGATTAAAGGATTGAACTAGAGATATGGATAATCCCACATGGACTCATATTAATTGTTTAGATTGCTACCCATTTGGTCTTGAAAAAGCTAATTTGGACATAATCACTCTTTGACCGAGAGGTATTGAGTGGGTACTTGAGAATTGAGAGTCATAACACACTCCAATCTACCCAACAAGTATGGATTTACTCTACCCATTATGGTTACACCTAGGTGGAGGTTACAACCCTAGGTTTTTCCCTTATTTGATATAAACACCAAAAATATTTCATTCAATAGTTGCTTACTAGTTAGTTTAATTTCTTAGAAGTCTACATAAATAATAATTTCTCACTGCTGTTTAAAAGATAAATCTAGTTATTTCAAGGTTTTTTTCTTAAGTGTTTACCTTAGCATCGAACTAAACTCTATGTGGATTTGACTCCGATTTATGTTGAATTTTATAATTACAATGACCGTTTCATACTCGTTATTTGGGCGTGAATTGGACGTGATCGGGGGTGGAGAAGAAGAGATAAAACATTTAAAAAATGTGATTATTGATTAAAAAAGGTGGTATTCGCAAAAGTTACACATGTTAAAAAGTAAAAGCCTTAGGGGGAAGGAGTTCCATCCTTATAGCGCAACTAAGGATATTCTCAATATTCTTGGTATACTCTTTGGTATACCACAATACAAAGAACAAAGCAAGAGACTCCAAGAAAGCAAACTAAATCATAAATATGAAAGTTTCCCTACAAATGGGCTGGCTTCAACAATCTATAAGGGACGGCTTGCCAAGCTACACAAACAGTAAATTTGCTTATAGTCGCAAAAGTTTTACTACAAAGGGGATAGCTTCAACAACCCATAAGGGATAGCTTGTCAAGCTACACAACTCAGAAAAATTTTGTACTATAACCAACTTTAGGTGTTATAACTCAAAAAAATTTCGTACTATAATAAGCTAACTTTCATAGAGTATACATGGACCGACCTTTTCATCCATTCGAAAGAAAGAACAAGAGGGAAATTTAGAAAGAACTCATATGTAATATATCATGAAGATTTACAAAGGTTACCAGATGATCTTACAACTACTATGTGGCCTCCTTTATATAGGACTAGGAGGTTATTACAAGACAAACTTATATTATAAAACAAACCTATCTTACATGGCAAACCTATCTACAAGTGGGTTCCTTTTTACATGTGAAAGAACTGAGGCAAAGCAACTAAAAAAACTCATGAAAACATGTAAAAGAGGTGAAATATATATGGTATAGCATGTGAAAGTATGTGGGAGCATGTGAAAGCATGTAAAAGTAGGGTGCTGCATGTGACGAAGCATGTGGAGGCATGTGAAAATGGGGCCGAAAAGTATGGAAAGATGTGAAATTTTATCTTGGCATGGGTAGATGATTTTTTAAGGATTGTTTGGTAGGTAATGTGGGATTATTATGGGATTAGCAGGTATTTAGATAATTATCTTCCATTGATTCTTTGGGGTTGTCTTCTAGGCATCTTTTCAAAGATCTTGTGTAGTAACGCCTGGAACTTGACGGTCTTTCTTCGTTGTGTTCCTTCTTCTTTGGATTGAGGGATGTAATCCGCAAACTTAATCTGGATATGTCTTGAGTGATCTTTTCTCGGATGACTTCGTACGGGGTTTGATATTCCTTTGCTGCTTCTCGGACCCTTTCCTAGTGAGGATGAGTGTTGGTATAATTCCAGATCACCCAGTATTTTGGCCATATTTCTCTTGGGATGCGCTTATTTTGCTGGAAGATAATTCTTTGTGCTTCACTATATTCTTCTTCAATGGATAAAGTGGACACGGGAAATTTCCACCAGAATGATACCTCTGCTTGCGCCTGGACTTTTCCATTAATAATTTTCACTGGCTTATGGAACATGAATAACTTTGCTTTGTAGGAATCATTGAAATATTTTATCCAATATCTTCGAGACTTGAACCATAATAGAAATATTTTAAGAGTATGTTTAATGTTATCAAATTCCTTGAAGACGTTGCACTTGAATTCCATAAAAATATAATACTAATGGCATAAGTACCAGAAAAATCATAATAGTTCATGTAGAAAATCCTTGGCTTGTGCTATGGATATGTGGCAGAATGGATATTCTGGATTGACCTACATGGCTTGAGAATGGATCCTCCATGTTGCCAGAAAACCTGGAGCTCATAATAAGTTCTTCTTTCCATTATAATTGATGGATCAAAAGGATCTATGAGGTTGAACAACTCAGGTGGATGATCCGTTGGATTTAATGAACTTGTTCCTGGTATATTTGAAAACATAAAGATATGACTGATTAACTTTTGTTTTGATTTCATTTTCGCTCGGGAAAATCTTTTTGAAGAAAATCTGCAAGAATGTTATCCTTTCCTTACAGGTGCTTGACTTGGAACTTGTATGGAGAGAACCATTGGGCCTATCTGAGAATATGAGGATTGGGAATAATTTTTGCATTTATCTAGATCATCTTTGAGAAGGCCTTCATATCCATTTCTATTAGAAATTTGTTATGAATCAGGAAAATATTGAATTTTTTGATTCCATTCTTCACTGCAAGAATTTCCTTGAAAGTTGAGTGATAATGTTGCTCGATATCATTGAACTTTCCGCTAGCATATCCACATATTTTCCTCTAGCCATCTTTTCTTCAAATAGAACAATACTCCAATATTCATTCCTTGCATCAGTTTGCAGTATCTTCTTACCTTATAAAGGGATGTAAAGGGACTTGACATCTTTAGATATCTCCTTTATTTCCCTGACTGCTTCATCTTGTTTCTTTCCCCATGATAGAGCATTTTTCTTGAGCATCTTTGTGAGCAGAGAAATATATGTAGAGATATTTGGGATGGAATCTTTTACATAATTTACTACACCCAAAAACTGTTGGATCTGCTTTGTTGTGAGGCTGGTATCAGGAAATTTGAGTAGTTCCTGACATATATATGGTCCTGGACTGTATGCACCTTGGAAAAAATGCATTCCGAGAAAATCAATCTCTTTGTGAGTAAGAACCGTCTTTTTTGCTAAAAGCATGATCCCGTACTATGTTACCAATGCCTCTAATTGATGAAGCAAGTTGATATGTTCCTCCAATGTATTATTAAATAACAATATGTCATCAATGTAAACTAATGAGGTATGGAGGATGGGCTGGAATATTTTTATCTTGCCTTTTTGGAACAAGTAGGGTGCAATTTTTAATCCGAAGGGCATGACTTTTCATTGGAAGTGATGATTGGGGATGCAAATTGCCGTTTTGGCTCTTTCTTCAGGGTGGATTCCCAATTGGCAAAATCCAGATTTAAGATCAAAGTTGGAAAAAGATTTGACCTTGGCTAAGTGGGAGCAAAGAGTGAGTTTATTTGGGATAGAGAATTTATCATCTTGGAGGAAATGGTTAAGTGGTTGGTAGTTAATAATTAACCTGAGTTTTCCTCTTGTTTGCTCAGCTCTTTTGTTGACATAAAATGCTTCGCATGCCCATTGTGAATCCGATGACTCTATTAGATCAAATTCCAATAGTTCTTCACATTCTTTCTTTGCAAGTTGAAGATGATCTGGATTCATGCCTGAAAGACTGGATTTTGTTGGATTGATGTTTTCATTCTTCTTTAAAGGGAGCTTGATAAAACACTCTTTGTTCTTCCATAATGGACTTTTCTCTTTCTTCACAAAATCCTTATGGGATTTAGCACATGAACGCTTAATGAGATCTTGTTCAATATCCTTGATTTCTTCATCGTTGGTGATTTAGAATAGCCTTGAAATTTCATAATAAGATTTGAACTGTTTTTTAAAGGTTATCCGGTTAGCCCTGATCTGGAGTTGATATTTTAGTTGTCTGAAAATGTCGAATCCAACAATAAGATCTTTTCCTGGTACATCGGACCTTATTAGCTTGGTTTTGTACTTCAATCCTGGAAAGAACTCAATTGTAACTGGGTGCTTTGTGATGACAGTGGTAGTCAAGATTCCATTTGATGCAGTGTTGAAATCCTTAAAGCGTGGCACCCATTGATCTTCAGGGAGAACAACATGATTCATGAGTGAACAAGCATCTCCAGTGTCAATGAATGCAATGACTCGAGTTGGTTTATCCCATTTGGATGAATAAACCTTGAGGTCCACTTGAGGGATGACTATGAGAGCGTTGATCTCTTCCTGGGCTTTAGCTGCTGGTTCTGAAATTTGGTAGTGGTCATCACCACGATCTTTGTATGTATCAATAAAGAATAAAGTTTCTTCAGTGGGTTTATCGTCCATGAAGAATATGGACTCGAGGTCTTCTTCCTTTTCGAGATGTATGCCAGTGTAATATTCAATCTCTTATAGGATTTTGACAAATTTCCTCAATTGGGGACAGTTTCTTGGGAAATGTCCGATCTTGTGGCAAACAAAGCATCTATTCTTTTTGTGAAATTTCCTGGCCTCCTTCATTTGAAATATTTTGTATGTCTCCTTGACCTCGATCTCCTATATGGAATTCTTGGCCATCTGAACCTCCTAAATCCTTTGCGTCGCCTATATCTGTGGTAGGAACATCCTGATCTGGTGATTAGATCAGATCTGCGACATGCTTTGTCAAGCACTGTATTGTGTTGGATAATTTGTTTTAGGGTAGAGCGCTTTGTACAAATGTCTTCCAATGCGACGAAAATAGCTTGCCTGATGTA